GCAGCGAAGGGAGTGTGGACGCTGCAGGAAGCTCGTCAGCTGCACGAGTCACTCCACATAGGGGCCAAAGCACTGGCGAAGAGATGCGGGATCTCGACAGCAGACGCGAGACACGTAGTGGCCACCTGCCCTCACTGCCAGAAGTCACCCCTATGGACCGGTGGAGTCAACCCAAGGGGCCTCAAGGCGTCAGAAATCTGGCAGTCAGACTTCACCCTCTGCGAACTGCTAAAGCCCCGAGCATGGCTTGCAGTGACAGTGGACACCTACAGCGGAGTGATCATAGCGACACAGCACCTCAAACCCAACTCCAAGGCCACGATCCAGCACTGGCTGACAGTTATGGCATGGCTTGGTATCCCCAAGCAAATTAAAACTGACAATGCTTCCAATTTTATCTCCAAATCAGTGCGGGAATTCGCCTCGGTGTGGGGTATCACCTTAGCGCAGGGAATCCCATATAACAGCACCGGACAGGCCATTGTCGAGCGAGCAAATCAGACCCTAAAAGCCAAGTTAGAAGTGTTGGCAAAGGCAGAGGGCTTTGCCAATTCCATCCCCTCAGGAGACCAGACACGCATGCTAGCAACCGCGCTATTAGCACTGAACCAATTCCCTAGGGGAGATGAAGCAAACAGTTCCATTCGAAAACACTGGGCCACCCAGACACTAGAGGAGGGCCCACAGGTCATGGTCAAAAACGAGCTAGGCGAGTGGGAACGGGGCTGGAGACTGGTGCTTACGGGACGGGGGTACGCGGCAGTTAAAAAGGAGGACAAGATCAGGTGGTGTCCACTCAGGTCGATCAAACCTGACCTTCAGAATGAAACTAATGGAAAACTGTGAGTTTTCGTTCGCAGGACACGCTCGTGGACCGTCCCCGCGACACACACACCCCTGCTCCAGAGAGAGATAACGGACCACCAAGCCACCAGACAGAACCTGAGCGTCCCACGGCGGGGAGACCCAGACTCGCACAGTGTCTCTGTGCAATCCTGCTGGTGGGGTTAGCGGCTGGGGGGCAAGCCGACCCAGGCCACTACCCTCACCAGCCGTTCAGATGGGTCATGCAACATCTTTCAAGTGACAAGGTGTTCAAAGAGGTCACCACCGCAAACGCTCCATCCTTCGTATTCCACATAGCCGATCTGTTTCCAGGGCAACCGAAAATACGGCCCTCAAGCCCACACATCATACTCATGTACATATCTTACTGGTGCCCAGCGTCCAACCCAGGGAAAAGGTACTGTGACTACCCGGGGTGGGGACATTGTGGGTATTGGGGCTGCGAAACCATTGTTACAGATGCCAGACCATGGGGAGATGGGTGGCAACCGCAGGAGCCCGACAAATTCTTACAGTTCACCTGGGCACCCTTTGGCTGCGGAGACCACACTGCACAGCCTAGACAACGGGGATGCGTAAGTTATAACATGACTGTCCTACAGCCAGATCACCCTAGCTGGGCCACGGGTAGAACATGGACAGTGGTCCTCAGAGGACTGAGGAGGTGGGTGAATGTGAGAATTATCAGGCTCCATCCGCCAACACCTCGACCAGTGGGACCCAACAAAATTATCAAGAATGTGCTGAGAGGGAAAAACACAACCCACCCCAAAACCCTGACCCCAAAAGCCACTGACACCCCGACCAGCCTTGCAGATACCGCCCAGATAGGCCGCACGGCTGAGTCAGACCCAAACCCAATCTTTCGTATGCTAGAAGCTACCTTTCTAACCCTAAACGAAACCAAACCAAACCTAACTAACTCCTGTTGGCTTTGCTATGATGTCAAACCCCCTTTTTATGAAGGCATTGCTTTGAACACCCCCTTCAGTTACTCCACAGCCAGTGCCCCCCACCAGTGCAGATGGGACACTCCCCGCAGAGGAATCACCCTGAGTCAAATCACAGGACAGGGCAGATGTTTTGGGAATGCAACCTTAGCAAAGCAGAAAGGCAACTTCTGCACTAAAGTTGTCAAACCCAACAGAAAAACTAACAAGTGGGTGATCCCATCTGCGTCTGGGATGTGGGTTTGCCAAAGGTCCGGAGTGAGTCCTTGTGTGTTCCTTGCCAAATTCAATGACTCTACTGATTTCTGTGTTCAAGTTCTGATTGTCCCCAGGGTATTGTATCACTCAGACGAAGAGATATACCATCTTCTCGAAGAACCTAACAGACTCCACAAAAGGGAAATCATCACAGGTATAACTATCGCGATGCTGCTCAGCCTGGGAGCAGCTGGCACCGCCACGGGCGTCTCAGCCATCGCAACCCAGCAGCACGGACTCTCTCAGCTGCAAATGACCATCGACGAGGACCTGCAGAGGATCGAGAAATCCATCTCCTACCTAGAGAAATCAGTCTCTTCGCTTTCAGAAGTAGTTTTACAAAATAGGCGAGGTCTGGACCTTTTGTTTATGCAGCAGGGGGGATTGTGTGCAGCTTTGAAGGAGGAATGCTGCTTTTATGCAGATCATACGGGAGTCGTTAAAGACTCCATGGCAGAACTCCGAGACAGACTGGCTCAGAGAAAGAGAGACAGGGAGACCCAGCAGAGCTGGTTTGAATCCTGGTTCAATCAATCACCTTGGCTCACCACTTTAATTTCCGCCCTGGTAGGTCCACTGGCAATACTGCTTTTGGCTATTACCATAGGACCATGCCTGCTGAACAAACTAGTCTCGTTTGTTCAGGCCCGTCTGAAAAGGGCAAACATTCTGTTCATAGGCCACCAACAAATGCTATAAACCAAAAAACTGCAAACACAGTCAGTAGCTAAAGCCTTCAGCACCTGCCTTGAAAAATCTACCCAGATCTACTAAACCACCCTTTCCTTAACAAGTTGCAAGTTTGTACCTCACTCCAGTGCCTATACCTACGACTACCTCATTTTATATGTGATAAGGAGGGGGAAGATGTGGTAGATAGGGACAGGCGGAGCGGAAGACCACCACGGGATGTCACGGAAAGATAGACCCCTCCCCATCTCTCTTCCCCACTTATCTATTAACCCCAGAAGCCCCAGAAGAATGTAGCCACACCTGCTCTGGTAAATTTCCACTACCCGACTAGCCCCTGAGACCCCCAACCCCCCTCTGACGTAGCAAAAACCCCTAAAACTATTTAAACCCACGAGATAGGATAATAAACCCTTTTCGACCGTCTGCCATATTGGTGTCTGCGTGTGTTGATTAGCCCGAGCAGCCCGGGCGAGACCAGGCTGCCGTGCTGTTCCCTGAACCAGGTCCCTGGTTGTCCTTTATAAAGGCAACACCCACCCAACCTCTACCAAGCAAAAGAAACCTGCGCTACACACTAACCTAACAATTCTACTTGTAACCCCTCTATATTCTGAAAAACATATTTACCTTCAATTAGTCAATATCCAAATTAACCTCTTCCTTCCAAAAAACTTCTTTTTCCATGTCAAACCACAACACCCCTCCAGTCCCTCCCAGCACAGCCCAGTTCATCCCCAGTACAGCCCAGTTCATCCCCAGTACAGCCCAGTACAGGCCCAGTGCCCCTCCAATCCCTCCCAGTACAGCTCAATTCATCCCCAGTACAGCCCCAGTGCCCCTCCAGTCCCTCCCAGCACAGCCCAGTTCATCACCAGTACAGCCAAGTACAACCCCAGTGCCCCTCCAGTCCCTCCCAGCACAGCCCAGTCCCTCCCAATACACCTGAGTTCATTCCAAGGCCCTCCCAGTTCCCCCCAGTGTCATCCATATTCCGCTCCAGTGTCCCCCACAGTCTTCCCCACAGCGTTCCCACCCATTGCGGGGCAGCAGCGCAGATGGAATGTCCTGCGGCCCAAATCCCTGCTCCTGCCACACAGTGCCCAGCCTTCTCCCCTCCTCCTCCTCTCCCAGCACGGCACAAATTCCAGCTCGGAGGAGGCTTCCCCAGAGAGGGCTCCGGCTCCTGTTTCAGCCTGAGTGTCCCTGCAGAGGAACAGGGCATCTTTCAGGCACTTCCACAAGCTCAGGGTTCCCATTTCACAGTGAATCTGGGATGAAAATGGCCTTGTTAGGAAGGAGAAAAGCAGAGGGAATGGACTGGACATTATTAGGAAAACTGATCCATCATACAGGGAAAGTTCACAAAGTCATTTCCTGCATTTCTCCTTTTCAGATTCTTTCAGCTATCCACTGAGAGGACCAGCTTGTTCTGGTGCTTTTCATGAACTGATTGTACTCTTGATTTATATCAGCGCTTGAGAGGTGGAAGCTTCTAAACTGAACACAGAAACAAACTCCCTCTGTCAGCCCATTTTCATCTTCTACATCACTTTCAAGCTGTCCATGGGGATGTTGGAATGATTATCACACTGCTCTCCATTTCTGGCTGCAGATTCTTTCTCTGCGTTCAGTCAGGCTTACATACCCTGACAATTCTTGGGAGCCTGTCATGGTTTCTTAGGGTAGAACAAGAACAGTGAAAACCTCACCAATGATACAACTGCCCAGCACACAAGGAAAAGAAAGAACAAGTTGTAAAGTTCCTCAAATATTTGTCCCACTTTTCTGCAAGAGTCGAGCTGCCCACACTGTGTGGAAAGTGAAGAGAAGCTGCAGCTGGTGGCATATCTTGTGACAGAAGCTGCTCAAAGCTTCCTCGTTCTCCAGCAAAGGTTCCTGGAAACAGCAAACAGGACTGTGGAGAAGATTCTGGGAAAACTGAAACAGCTTTTAAGAAATGAAATGAAAATGGAAAGAAACAATCCAAGATGTTTTTCTCTGTTTATTTTTATGCTCCCCTTTTCTATCTTTCACTACTTCTTCCCATTAATTGCAAATGGATCTCACTTCTATGATCCATGACTTGGCAAGTTTTAGACAGTGTGAAATACCATGAGCTACACACATTTTGCCTTCCCCTGTTTTTTTTTTTTTTGGAAAGCTGTGCTGGGGACTAAGTGCAGTTCTTGGGTCAGGTACAAATTCAGCATTCAGGGAATGTGCTCCAATAGTGTTTGACCCTCAGCAGGGACAATGCACAGCAGTGACCGAGGGGATTCCTGTGCCCCTGGGCAGGAGTCCAGACTCTGGGTCTGGGCTGAACACGGCAAAGTTCCTGTGTTTGGACAGGCTCAGGGGCTGCCCCGGGGAGCGCAGGGCTGGGCGCGGGGGCGAGCGGGCAGCGGACACACAGACACGGGGACACACGGACACGGGGACACACGGACACGGGGACACACAGACACGGAGCTTCAGCTGCAGTGGCAGCAGCGGCAGCGAAAGCAGCGAAAGCAGCGAAAGCAGCGAAAGCAGCGAAAGCAGCTACTCTATCAATTCCCTCTTGCATCTCCTCTCCCTCTCCCGCTGTCCCACACTCTCTCCCGCTCTCCCGCACACTCTCCTGCTATCCCTTTCCCGCTGTCCCCTCCTCTCCCGCTCTCCCTCTCCCCCTGCCCGGCCGGGCCATGCCCCCGGCCCGCCCCCGGCCCCGGGCGGGGCTGCCCCGTCCCCGCCCCGGCCGTCCCGCCGCGGTCTCGCCTCTGCCCGGCTCTGGCCGTGCTGGCGGTGCCGCTGCCGGGCGGGCATCAGTGCCTGGGGCTGGGGCGGCATCGCCGCCCTTTGGCTCCGCCTGGCCCGAGCCCGGCGCCAGCCCCGCCGTGGGCTCCGGTCCCAGCCCGGCCCCATCTTCTCCCGGGCCCCGTGGAGGACACAGGTGGCGCGGCCACTGCTGCCCTTGGCTCGCAGGTGGCCATCAAAAGGGTGCCAGGGAACCGCGTCCAGCACTGGGGCAAGCTGGTGAGTGAGCGGAGCCAGCGGCAGAAGCCGGGCCGTGCCGGGCGGGCATGAGCCGGGGCCCGGCAGGGTGGGAGCTGCCAGGACACCTCAAGGGAGAGCAGGCGTGGGGTCAGCGCAGGGAGCAGAGCATCCCAGGCTGGCTGAGGGGTTCCCGACCCCCAGCACGGCATCAGCCCCACTGACAGTATCTTGGTCCTCCCGCAGCCCGATGGCACCAGCGCACCCCTGGAGATTCTGCTGCTGGACAAAGTCTCCTCTGGCTGTGCTGGTGTCATTCAGCTCCTGGAGTGGCTTCATCTCCCCGACAGCTTTGTGCTGGTGCTGGAGCATCCGGAGCATTGCCAGGACCTGTCGGGTTTCCTGGCAGACTAGGGGTTTCTGCCAGAGGAGGCGTGGGGGCTGTTCCGCCAGGTGCTGGAGGCTGTGCGGCGCTGCACCAGCTGCGGGGTCCTTCACAGGGACATCAAACCAGGGAACATCCTGCTTGACCTGGGCACCAGGCAGCTGACACTGATCGACTATGGCTGTGGCACTTTCCTCCAAGACACAGCCTACACCCAGTTTGCAGGTGAGCCCTGCCAGGGGATGCTCCTGGGCATCTCATGGCCCAGCCGAGATGCAGCACTGGGGCTTCCCTGATGAAGCGCTCCTCTCCCCGATGCCTTTCCCCTGCCCCGGCTAGCTCTGGGGGAGAGGGGCAGGCAGGTTTCTAGCGCTTCCCGCTGGACCCTCACAGGGCTTTGGGGAGCGCTATGGGAGTTCGGAGAGAAGTCAGTGACCCCACGGCGAATTATGAAGAGACTCTTTCTCCGCGGGGCAAATTCTGTTTATTGTAATCCAATGGGGAATACAGTAATTTGAAGGAGTCCAGGCGTGCCGCGCCTGCGTTTGCCGGAGCGGCGCGGGCGGGGCGGAGCGCGCTGGAGCCAGCCAGAGAAAGCCCGGAACGAGCTGTGCGAATGAACTAAATACAGAACGGGGGAAAACCGAACAGCCAATGGGGTAGAACCGCGAGGGGTTCGAGGGTGGTGGGATACGGGGGTACATCCAATGAAGGACAGACAGGGGAAGGGTCCCAGGTCCTTTCCCAATCACCCGGCGTCCCAGGTGGAAGATTCTAGGTGGAGGGGAAGGGACACCGAGTGACAGACAGGCATCTGGGGTAAACAGGGAGGATAACTTGGTATTTTTGGGGATAACGGACGCACGGGGAAAGGCGGGAAAACCTGGGGAAAACCCGTTACAGAATCGGGGGTAAATGAAACAAACCTATACATAATACAAATGTAATAAAACATAAAAAACACAACTCCACACTTCCCCTATTGTAGCTGGGATGGGATTAATGCTGGAGCCATGTTGATTTGGGTGGGAGTGTGAAGGGGCCCAACTCCCCTCCCTGCCGACAGCCTTCATCACCCACTGTGGCCTGGGCTGGGGCTGAAGCTGGGGCAGCCAGCCCGACAAAATCCTCCATGGGGGTAGCAGAGAGGGGGGTCTGACCCCGTACCCCAGAGGGTTTTGTGTGCAGGCGAGGAAGGGATTGGACTGCTCTGCTCCCCTTGTTTGCCTTGGCTTATTAACATTTTTTGGGGCCATGCAAGCAGGGAGGAGAGGGGGTTTTCTCCACCACTGGGTGAGTTTTTCTTTTGTGTGTCATGGTTGTGCCTTTCCAGGGCTTCTGCTACCCTCTTCTAGTACCAGTGGCTTCTTTTCCAGCCCCGAGTCCATACACATGTCCCAGGTGCTGGCAAGAGGGCAGCGGTCACACCGTGTGCCACTGGGGCAGCCCCCACATGCCCGGGGTGCTGGGGCCAGGTTCTGGGAGCAACAGCATCCCCCTGCTGAACTCTGTCTGTGTTCCACAGGAACCCTATCCTACAGACCACCAGAGTGGATCCACCACCAACGTTACCACGGCAAGGCAGCGACGATCTGGTCCCTGGGCCTCCTGCTGCACCACCTGGTCATGGGGAAGTGTGGTAGGATAGGGACAGGCGGAACGGAAGATCTCGGGGTGTGACGGAAAGATAGACCCCTCCCTCTCTCTCTCCCCCACGCTATCTTTTGACCCCAGGAGCCTCAGAAGAATGCAGCCACACCTGCCCTGGTAAATTTCCACTACCCGACTAACTTCTGAGACCCCCAACCCCCCTCTGACGTAGCAAAAACCCCCAAAACTATTTAAACCCACGAGATAGGATAATAAACGCTTTTTCAACCGTCTGCCATATTGGTGTATGCGTCTGTTAATTAGCCCGAGCAGCCCGGGCGAGACCAGGCTGCCGTGCTGCCATCTGAACCAGGTCCCTGGTTGTCCTTTATAAAGGCAACAGGGAAGCACCCGTTGAGGAGGGGCAAGGAGATCATCTGGGGGCAGATCTTGTTCCCACGACGGCTCTCTCAAGGTGGATCCTCATCTCTGGGCACACGGGGAATACCAGTGCTGGGAGACAGCAGCAGCTCGTGGGCATCCTGCTCTGGCAGCTGCTGAGGAGGTGGCACATGTCCTGCTCTCCTGCTCTCCTTCAAACAGAGAATCCATGGGGAAGTTTAGGCCCAGCTCTGGGCACACCCAGCATGGCCTGGGCAAGGGAACAGGGGGAACTTCTCCAACTGACTGATTTCTGGTTTCTCTCCCCAGAGTGCCAGGATGTCATTAAGAGGTGTTTGTCCATGCAGCCCTTGGATGGGCCATCCTTAGAAGAGCTTTTCTGTGATCCTTGGGTTCAGGGTGTTCCTCTGCCCTAGAAGATGGGAGAGATCCTCATGCACGGTTGGATCCAGGGGCCTGGCAGGTTACAGCTCCACACATCTCTTGGTAATCAGTGGCAAAGCCAACCAGACAGGTTTTGTCCTGCCTGTTGCTCTGAGTAGGGGGCAGCAGAGGGGAACATGCAGCTCTTGGGCTGGAGCTGAGCTGGAGACCTGGTGTGGCAAGCACTGGGGGCCACCATCCCCCTGGTTTTGCTTGTCATGGTTCATGAATGGCTGGGGCCCTGGGCAGAACCCTGACAGCCTGGTCTGGCCCCAGGGAAGAAGAAGGAGCCCCTGGAGAAGCTGTACCAGGTGGGGCTGCTGCTGCTGGGGACAGCGAGGATGATGTCAAGGATGACAACCTTGACAACCTCTTGCTCCACCTGGTCTCTGGCAGGCTGAAGATGATGGACTTGGATTCTGACACCTTCTCCAAAGCCAGGCTCCACAGGGAATTTGCAGATGAGTCCACATGCAACATCTACATCTTTATCCTTCTTGTGGCAAGGGAGTGCAACTTTCCTTTTCCCCAGGCACTACATTCCAGGCACTACATTCTCCAGAATAGCAGTGGATAATTTATCACTTCCCGAGAAATTCCTTCCTTCCTTCAAGCCTTTTGCTCACACTGCATTCCATCATGAACTGGGACCCTGCTGCTCCCTTTTGGGCAGTCCACTTCCTTGCTGCGATTCCAATTTCCTGATTGTTGTTCTGTTTACTTATTGTTCAGTGAAACCCATCCTTCTGCCATAGCTAATTAGCCCTGAAGATCCCTATCCCCATGTTATGAACGAGCACAATAGGCTTTCTAATCCAATTAAAAAGATTTATTAATGGTAGGAAACGAAAGCAAATCAGCGCGCTGGGCAGCAGTTATTCCAACTACCGCATTTTCGTGCCCATTCCCCCCCAACTTATTGGGTCTTCTCCTCCGGAAGTGTGACGTTCTGGTGTCTTTTCTGCGCAGGTGCACTCTGTTGCTAGGTGGTCGTTTTCTGCCTTTTGGTGGTCGTGGGATGAAGGCCAGTAGTCTTCCTCAAGGTTGCTCCTATGATCTGGGAATTCTCTCAAAACAAGAAATGTTATCTCTAGGCACGTTTACTCGCATTCCACAAGATTACGGAACTGTCCTTGAAGATATTCGCTTAGGTGCTTTGATGCCTAACAACCTCCACTCCCTAAATTAGTTTTAACTCCCTAAAACAGTGTGTAACGAAGTTGTCCTTGAGAGATATTCTGGAATGCTTGGCAAAATGTGAACATGTTCAGACAAGTGAAAACTCTAAGTGAAAATTCTATTTTATAGATGTGAAAACTCTATATTATGAACAAAAAGGCCTTATTTTCCTAACAATATCCCCCTTTTTATTTTAACCCTCTTTTTGTTCACTAAAGCGCTCTAATTCCCTTTTGCTCAATTCTAAATAATCTTCAGTTTCTACTTCGCTAAGTGGCTCGTATTTTGGTTTTACCATCATTAAATGTGCAGCTTCTAATCTATTTTTCACTAGTGTAATAAGCTTGTTAAGAATACATGGCCCAAAAGTAAGTACTAGAATTAGTAAAATTACTGGTCCTGCAAGGGTGGATAATAGAGTGGTTAGCCAGGGAGAATAGGTAAGCCAGGATTCATACCAGCTCTGCTGGGATTCTCTTTCTCTTTTTCGTTGTTCTATTTGTTTGCGTAATTCAGCCATCGTGTCTTTTACAATACCCGTGTGATCTACATAAGTGCAGCATTTTTCTTGCAAAGCAACACAAAGCCCCCCCTGCTGTAAGAATAACAAATCTAATCCCCTTCGGTTTTGGAGGACTACCTCAGAAAGGGATTTCACTGATTTAACTAGTTCACTTATGGCTTTATCTATTCTACTCAGATCTTCATCTACAGATGTGCGCAGAGCTTTCATACCCTGGTTTTGACTCACTAAGGAGGCAACCCCTGTTCCTACTCCTGCTCCTCCTAAGCTGAGCAAAATTGCTACCGTTAGTGTTGTAAGTGGTTCCCTTTTAGCCAGGTAGTGTTCAGGGGTCATTTGATGTTCTAGTACGTATTCTTTTGGATGGTATACGATTCTGGGGATTATTAGAACTTGAATGCAGAAATCTGAATTATTAAAGGCTTTTACCGATAGGCAGGGTGTAACTCCAAGTTGTTGACATACCCATTTAGTATTGACTGCTGGCATAAGCCAATCAGAAGGCTTGTCTGTTCTGTAAATGCTTATTGTCGTGTTGCAGAGGTGTTGCATATCTGCTGGAACCTTCCCTACACACCTTCCTTGTCCACTAACCTGGGACAGTGTAATGCCTGAAACACTATCTCTTCCCTTTCTCCAGAGACACTCCTTTGGATTTGTACCATTTATTTCTCTTGCCTCAGATGTAATCCCAATAGCTTCATAAAAGGGTGGATTTATCATATAGCAAAGCCAGCACCCCTTGGTTAATTTAGGATAAGTATGATTCAAAACTCCAAAAGTAGCTTGCATAATTTTCCATAAGGTTGTATACTTCTGCACTAATATCTGAGGTTCTTGATCAATTTTGTTTGATTTTATAACATTATCTCTGGTTTTATTACTCTCCTTTAAATTATTGCTTATTACTGGATTTGGGCCTATAGGACTAGGGTCATGTGGAGCTACCTCCTTTTTTATTTGTATCAGATTTCCTGGATCATGTCCTTCTATCCAATGCCTAACCCCCCATGTTTTGCCTATTAACCATCCAGAATCACTTGGTTGAGTGACATTTAGGTAAAGAAAGGTGCAGTTTCCAAGTAAGTTTTTCCCAGTCCAAGGCCACTCTCGTGGTCGTTTACACCCTGCTGGTCCATGCCCTACCTTTAAATATTTGTCTAATCCTCCACCCGGAGCCCACGCTGATGCTATTGTTTCACAACCCCAATAGGCGCAGTAATAATGTCTAGGGTAATTACAGTATTGCTTCCCTGGGTTCGAGGCAGGGCACATATAGAAGCTTGTTAAATTTAACAGCTGCCCACATTTTGAACTTTGAGTTAAATCACAAATCCCAATCTTAAAGCTCGGTGCTCCAGGTCCCCTCTTTTCCTTCTAATAGTTCCAAGGCTGTTAGGATAGCGTATATCTCGCAGGCCTGGGCTGACCATGTTTTGTCTAGGGCTCCAGATTCGATTACTTCTAGGTCAGGCCCCCCCACTATGGCATATCCTGATCTTCTTTGACCCTCGACTACTCTGGATGATCCATCAACAAACAATTTCTCTCCAGTTTCTAATTGCTCTTCTTCTAGGTCAGGTCTAATTTTAGTTTGTTCTTCTATAGTGATTATGCAGTCGTGCATCAGTGATTCAGTTTCGGGCTCTCCGAAAAGGAAGGAGGCTGGATTTTGCAGAGTGGTGGTTTCTAAGGTAAAATTAGGGGTTTCTAATAAAATCCCCTCATATTTCAGGAGCCTGGCATCAGATATCCATTTATCTGCTTTCTGTTGCATCACACTCCGTATGTTATGTGGAGTTAATACTTTTAAAGTAGCATTAAAAGTGATTTTCCGTGACTCTTCTACTAGTGTTGCACACCCTGCAATTATTTGCAGACAGCTAGGCCATCCCCTACTCACGGGGTCTAGGATTTTAGATAGATAGGCAATAGGTTTCTTTTTCCCTGCCCAATCCTGAGTAAGTACCCCGTACGTTACCCCATCTGTGGTATTAACAAATAGAAAGAAGGGTCTATTTAGGTCCGGGAGGCTCAAGACTGGAGCGTGGACTAAGGTCTCTTTTAATTCTTGAAATTTAGATCTTTCTTCTTCTGTCCACTTAAGATGACCATCCTGGGTGAGTTTGTGATATAAAAATCTTGCTTTCCCACTATAGTTTTCAATCCACTGTCTACAATATCCCGTAAGTCCTAATACTTGACGAATTTGTCGTTTATTTTGTGGTAGAGGGAGAGACAGAATTGCTTGCACCCGGTCTGGGTCAATTCTCTTTTCTCCCTTTTTCAAATAATGTCCCAGGTATTTAACTTCCTCTTCTACAAATTGTAACTTCGCTTTGGAGACCTTTAACCCCTTGGATCCTAAGTAATTTAATAACTTGATACTCTCCTCCCGGACTTTGTCTTCTTCGCTCCCTGCTATTAACAAGTCATCCACATATTGAATTAGTTTCACTTCTGAGGCTGTCTTATAATCTTGTAAAACTTGTTCTAGGGCTTGCCCGAATAAATTGGGGGATTCCGTAAACCCTTGGGGTAACACAGTCCACCGAAGTTGCTGCCGCCTTCCTGTATCAGGGTCTTCCCACTCGAAGGCAAAATAATCTCGACTAGACTCGTCTAGAGGGCAAGCCCAAAAAGCATATTTCAGATCTATGACACTATACCACTCGTTCTCAGGTCCTAGTTTGCTTAAAAGAGTATAGGGGTTTGCCACCACTGGGAACCGGGCTATGGTTCTCTTATTGATTTCCCTAAGGTCATGCACCAATTGGTAGGATCCGTCTGCCTTTTTTACTGGCAGGATCGGGGTGTTGAAAGGCGACATACATGGTTCTAGCAGTCCTTTGTTTAACAGCCTTTCAACTTCAGGTTTTAACCCTTTCCTCCCTTCTAGTGAAATTGGATACTGTTTTATTCTTACCGGGACCTCGGGATTCCTGATTTTTACTGTAAATGGGGTTATATTTAATTTGCCCACGGTTCCTGGATTATACCATACTTCAGGGTTTATTTTCTCTTCGTCTTCTAAACGGAGGGGGCAGAGTCTAATCTTTAACTCTTTTTCTACTACTTCAATTTGAATTCCTAATTCAACAATCAAGTCTCTCCCTAACAAATTGTAGTCCGCTTCAGGAACTAATAGGAAATCACCCACCCCCATCTTAGTTCCTGATTCTACCATCACCTCTTTAATAATTTGTACTTCAAATGGTTCCCCCTTAGCCCCTATTACTGTGGCTGTCTGTTTCGATAAATTACAGCCCTGAGGCAGGAATTGAATAGTAG